TTAGGTCGTAGCATAAGTTCGGGGCGAACGCGAAAGATATTTTAATGAAAATCCAAGGAAATTCTAAGGCGACGATAGAAAAAAAAATAAACGATAAGACGTCTTATCAAAAAAAAAAAATGAGAAGGTTGTGGAATGAGAAGAAATTTTTTGGATTTTTTTTATTAGATTTAAAGGTTCGTTGGAAATACTGATCTAAATTATAAAACACGAGGAAGAAGCGAGATGCGATTTGTGTGGCGATAGATTCGGAAATCTGGAACATTTGACAAGGGACTGCAGAGAAACCGAAAGGGATATCAGGATGGAAGACGTAGTGAGTGGGAGACAGGACAGAAAGATTGCAGAGTGGCTCGAGAAGCGGAAAAAGAAAAGAAAAAAAAAAGGAGAGAGTGGCTGATAACACCAAAGAGAATACTATAGTATAAGGGAGGGGCAACAATTAATGGGTAATAAGTAGTGTTATAAGTTAGTAGAGTACGAGGGAATGTGAATGGAAGAGAGAGAGAGAGAACGAATCGAATGAGTGAATAAGATAGTTTTATAAAACGTAGGTTATTGTAAACCAAGTCCAATTCATGGCTGTGAGGCTGAATAAATAAATATGTATAATTATAAAACTCGACACGAGCTTATGCGATGAGCTAATGTAACGACTATTAGGTGCAGAAATGAATTCTTTCCGACTTTTGGGTGCAACCAAAGTTTTATTTAGAAAGAATGAAAATAGATCAATCATGGAAATAATTTCCATTACTGTTGATGATCTTTTGCCACATTTCTGGCAGCTTGCGAATGTCATCGCGATAGAAACTCGGTGGTTTCGAATCAATTATGTGAATCCAGTCGGAAAGAATTCGTCTACACCTAATGATATCACTATTGTGACATTATTTTTGGGAAATACTGCAAGAAATTCCATTTCTGTCATAAAAACCGCACGAATTTTTTCTGACACCTAATAGAACGTGACGTGATAATACAAATGGCGAATATTCTTAAATATGTATGCAAAAATTCAAAAAATTAACAAGGTGCAATAAAAAAGTGTTTTTAAATAATTGACACTCTGGCTCCAATTATATTATATCTACAATATGTTGATATTAAATGTGACTGAAATTGAATGCACATTTGTACGAGACACTTAATTGTTTGAAATTCAGCATAGAATGCCTTCCCTTCGTTACGATATAAAAGGTAAATTGCTTTATTATGACGGCGCAGCTCTCTCCTGCGTTAAATTGTATCCAGAATGAACATTATTTCTCCGAGGCTAAAGTAGCAGCCAGTTTTTAATAATAAGCCAAAGTGGAGTATTTACTTCGTTTTTACAGCACGATTTATCACTTCATTGTCAACGAATAAAGAGGGGAAGTTTCAAAGAACTTTCTTTATCAAGTGGCTCTGTAAGTGCACTTCCCATTTATTCCACTGAACGAAAATTCATTTTGGTCTTCTTTCAAACTGTCAATATTACCGTCGTCTTCAATTTGAAAGGAGAGACGAATATATCAACCGCCACTTCATCTTTAAAATTCATAATAAAATAAGTATAGTCAATATTACTATCATCTTCAATTAAAAAAAGGAGACGAATACATTAAATTCTATTTCGTCTTTAAACTCCATAATAAAATAAATATAATTTAAAAGAAATGAAGAAAGGAAAAAAATTCTAAATTCAAAGGAAGATTTTCTGTTCCAAAGTAAACCCTTTTCTTACTTTCAACATTCCATACCACTTCGCTCAAAATAACTCTATTTAGAATTATCTATTCAAAGAAGATAAATCGTCTGTTTTCTAAATCTCCACCCTGACAAGTACACCCAAATTCTCCCATTCCAAAGTACTCTCGTGTCCCCCTCCAAAATCAGATCCCCAAAACCATATTCATTCAACATCCACGAGATTTTCTAATTACCTCGAGCACACTTGAACCACTGAAACACGTTTTTTCTTTCACCGCAGCGTTCAACTGTCCGAAACTTTTTAAACCGTCGCGTTGTTGGTGAACGCGTTAAAGCGTCCAGACGCCACAGTTCGAACGGTGCTCTGTGATTTTAGCACGGTGCAAAGAAAGAAAAACGAGAAAAAACGGGGATGAGGTCCCCGTCAAGCCTTCGCTTCTCCTTCGGTTATCGTCGAGACACGTACGAAAGAGCGAGTGTGAGGGGAAAAAAAGGGTCTGTGTATTTAATGCAATTTCCAGCACTCCATTCCGGCCGGAACGTTCCTCTAGTGTGTTTAACCCTCGACTCCCGTGGCTAGCGGCCTTTATTCAAAAATATCTCCAGAGAAGCCGGCCCGGAGAAAGGGAGAGAACCCTCGAGCAAGGGGTAAACGAGACAATAATTACTGGAACACACGAAAAAAAGGTTACTCGCAATTGGATAATGCCCGGGCGAAAATTTCGAGCAAATGTTTGCTAATTAGAGCAACGGGTCACGGATTAAATGAATCCCCTGTGAGTAACGAGCACCCGTGCATCTTGACGATCTTTTTTTTCTTCTTTTCGTTAGTTGCTCGAGAATTTTAGGTGCGAAGGTAGTTCTCAGGGTGGTTTTTCCTTTCTTTTTCATTTTCCTCGTGATAAATGGCGCGGAGAAACGGGGTTACAGATTAGAGAGGAGTTTGTGTATTTAATTCTGATGCATGAGGTTGTTGCCGATAAATGACAGGGGTATTGATGAAATTTTGAATTTGTGGAACTTTTGTGGGAACGTGATATTTATTAATCGAAGGATGATACAGTGGTTTCGATGCAGTTTGACCGTCGTGGAATTGTGCACTTTTAGGCGCGATGAGGTGCTTCAAAACGTTTCTCACTTCGATTTCTTAAAACAATTGACGAACTATCCACCGTTTTATTTCTAACTAACTTGAAGCTTTGTGCTACCTGCTAGCATGTTTGAACCACTCAGAAGCCAACATGAGTAACTCTATAAAATAAAATTGACGAAACTTGTTTTATTTATGAAAAATTGAGTACCAAGCAAGTACTTCGCGAATATCCGTCCCACGTGGATTTGATTTACGCGAATAAAAATCGCGTGAATTGAGTCTGTCAGTGTAAAAGGAAAAAATATTGGAAATAAAAGCTAGTAAAAGTTTTTCGCTGTAGGTTTTCCTCCTTCTTCAAGTCGATTCAAAATTTTCATTTTCATGTCCAAAGACATCGACTTTCTCTTCCTTCGTGTGATTGAAAGTTTGTTAGACATGACTGGGTTAAAATTAAAAAATATAAATTATAAATCTAAACAGTATAGTAACAATGTCGTCCTCTCAACGTCCAACGTTCGCTTCCGCACTACGGCCCAGCGGCCAAAGACAACGCCTTGTGCGGGCCTAACGCGACAAAGTTTCACAAAGATCTCACAATACTGACTGTATAAAAGTATCAATTTTAAAACTTATAGGAAAATATGTATGTACATATCTGACCGCGTAAAATAAGATCGCGTAAATTGAGGTAAATTTGCCGCGTAAAACAAATACTCGCGTAAAAAAGTGTCGGGTGTACTTTGATACTGAAATTGGAAGAATATTCCACAGCACCAAATTTCAGCTGCATCGTATCCAATATTACCACAAATCTGTCCCAATTGTAACTTCACTTGTCTTTTCAACAGTGTAGCCGGTGTAGATTACATTTCAGCACTTAGGCCCAAATTTTCGAAAATGTAACTTACACCACTGTAACTTTAACACTCTCATTTAACGCAGGCAAAACTGTACAATTAAAAATAAACAGACTATTGTATTCTAAGTATCGACGAACCAACGACGAGTTAACTCATCTTCCACAGTTAAAAGGTTAAAAAGCAAGGATTCCTTGACCCCGCTAGTTCGAAGGGTTCATCCCCTTTAAACGAGCCCGAGTCAGCCAGTCAGCCAGCCGGTTAACCAGCCACGCAGCTTTGTGTATTCTGGATTGTGGATAGGCGGGCTGCGGAATTTCCAGGCGATGAAAAGCTCCTCGCGGCTGAGACAAGCGAGCTCAAGGCCTAACGAATCGGGCGTCGCGGAATGACTAACGTCCTCGTGCCACGTTTTCACTCTGTGTCTCGCGTGCAAGACACAGACCTGAACGAAGAAACGGCAAGATTCATGGAACCAAGCGGGCATGTCGGTTTTTCCGTGAATTTCCACGCGGTAATTAAATTTCCTGTCCAACGGCGCGAGAAACGGAGGACTTTCGCGCGAAACCACGAGAACTTTTTACGTCAACGGAGAATGCACTCTGCCTGAGAAGCGTGGCGAGAGTGACAAAAGTTTCGAAGCTCGATGGAAATTCAATTATTTTCTGTTGCCAGAAAGTGGGAAGGGAGGGAGGGGCACGCGATTCAGAAGCATCGGTGTCGATTGTGCACGGCTGAAACTATTGAAAGAGTTCTCTCTCTCAGGCTCTTTCGCCGCGGTGGTAAACGCTTGCTGTGAAGTAGCACGATTGTTCTTTTGTGCGTGGGACGTTTGACGCGAGTGATTTCGAAACGAACGATGGACAGACTTAATTGGAGAGCACGCGGTATTTGCCGATCGAATTGCCGAATTTCTACTCTTCACTCGAGTTTGTGCAAGTAGAACTTCGTGGAACCTTGACTAACGAGAAATATCGAATTTGATTATTCCATACGCACGAAAATTGAGCAAGTATGTACAAGTAAAATGCAGTAACACTATTCTATCGCACGGTCCATTATTACAAAAAAAACTGAGAATTAAATTTGACATAGTCTGCCTAAAAAAAATTCTACTACCATTGAAAACAATGTACATATTCAAATTAGTGTTACTTTCACCACGAAGTAGCCAAATACTGTTAGTACCCATAGTCCACGAGACGTCCACAAGCTAATCAGCCTAACTCCCTCTACACGCAGAAAGAAACGTGAGATCCTCCCCGCGTTCCGTATCCCCGAAAGGAGGCGAGCTTCTCCGAGAGGAGAAGAGCGACGTGGTGACACGAGTAAGCCTAAGAAGAACGAGAACTGCTCACCTTCGTGATGAGATCCTTGGCGCGGCTCTCGAACAGGTGCTCGAGCTTCTGCGTGTCAACAGGTACCGGCGACAGCTCGTCCCATATCATCTTGTTCTTATCGAGCCTGGACAATATGATGGGGTCGTCCCTGACCTCTTTCCAGAACAGCTTCACCGTCTTCTTGCTCTTCTTCGTGAAGGTCGCCGGCGGACTCTTTGGCGTATTGCTGGTCTCGTTCGCGTTTGGTGACCTCGGCGACTTGAGATTCACGCCGAACAGCGGCGGAGGTGCCTGGGGCACGGGCGGTGGCAATCTCGCCCCCAACGGAGGTGGCGGAGGTGCACGAATGCCGCCGGTGACTGGCACCATGGGCGGCGGGGGCGGTGGAACGCCGTTCGTCACGTTCACGGGGCCAAGAACGTCGACCTCGTCGTCGGAATTCAGATCGGTGAAGTCGAGGTCGCAGAGGGCCAACGGCCGCTTCAGCTTCTTCACCAGCTCCTCCCAGTGAAGCTCGTTCTCGGATTTCTTCGCCTCCTGCAGCTTGGGAAGATTGTCACCCGTTGGAGACTTCAACACGTCCGCTTTCGACTTTGATTTTGCCAGGCCTTCCTTTGCTTTCGAGATCAGACCGCTCATGTCCCCTATCCTGAGGGCGGAGAAAGAGGTTGCTGTTGTGATGTGTACAGTTGTAATCGGGGTGATGGTAATTGGTTAGGGCGTGTCGGAAGGTGCAGACGGGGATTTTAGTGGAAATTTGATACTGCAGTGGGCTGGTTGGGTAACTTTTGGGTTTTTGGGTTTGTTTGTTGATTGAATAGATACGTGGAAATAGCAATTTTTGACATAAGACAACATTTAAATTCAAATTTTGAAATTAATTTGAAAGTTTTACTATGAATTGGAATTCTATTAATATACTGATTAAAATCTTAATAACTCATTGATTAGAAAGACATGAAAATAGCAATTTTTGACATAAGACAAACTTCAACTTCAAATTTCCAATTTGAATTTTAATATTAAATTGGAATTGTCTTAATATACCGATTTGGACGTTCCTACAAATAAACCGCGCGTTCTCCCTTAAAGAAGACGATAACAGAAAAGCAATCTCGATGTTCCTTAGGAGAAGGGAAGGGAAATAAATTCAACGACCGTGGTCAACATAAGAGGCAAACGTGTCAACAGTGTTTCCTTAACGGGCCTTAATCTCTTGTACGCGTCGTACGGTCAAATTACCTGGAAACCTTCTCCTCGACCGGGCTGCTCGGTATAAGATTTTGAGCGGCCAGCTTTTGTGTGAGATCCTTGACGGTTCCTTCCCTCTTCAGCTGTAGAACCACTCGACGATCCTCATCCTCGTCGGTGTGATTACCCTCGTCGCACTCGACACCCTCGTCCGGGCTCTTGCCGTACCACGGTTTCTTCTCCTCCGAGTCGAGTTTGTTCGCAGCATTCATCAGGGGCGTCAAGTCCTTCCTACTATTCGTCCTGGACAGCTTATTCGACGGCGAGTCCGCGTTTCTTTCGTACGACGTGCCGTTCGTGTAACGCAACCCGTTCGTCGCGTAAGGACCTTCATCGATAGGAAATCCTATTCGTTTATTCCTCGCCAATTAAATTGTCATTTCTTCTCTCGATATTGTTAACCCTTTGCACTTCTCTTAGATAATATCTTTGCAGTGAAACTTTTGGAAACCAAAAGTTTGAGAACTACTGACTGTGTAAAATTACTTAACCCACTCGAGGCCAGTGACTTTACTAAAGTAGGTTCGCAGGAGCCAAATTTTTTTCTCTTTATGTTCAAAATTGAGAAAAGTTTGGGAAGTGAAAAATTAACATCCCGACTGGAAATTTCAGTTAGGCAGATATTAGGTCCGCATTAGGCTAGCCTAATTTGCCTGTTAGGCCCGCATGCGGTATGTAACGTGGAATATTCGCGACTACCTAGGGCCGCATTAGGCATTCCCAATGAGGCCAACCGCATTAGGCCCATATTAGAATAGCTTTATTGGGCTGTCATTGGGAGACATTAATGAAATCTCTTTTATCTTGTTGAAAGCTCTCTTATGGCAACCTAACCTCTACAAGCAAGCGTACGTCCGACACTGAGATGTCTGTAAATATTCCTACATATAAGTTTGAGAGCCCCTCTCCACCTAATTTAGGTTTGCGCTCGGCCATCCCCATTTCAGCCACGTATGGCAACTGTTAGGAATGGCCAACCTAAGCGTGCGCTCGGCCACCCCCATTTGGGCACGTATGGCAACTGTTAGGCATGCCTAACTTAGGCGTGTGCTCGGCCACCTCCCTTTGGGCCACGTATGGCAACTGTTAGGAATGCCCAACTTAGGCACGCATCATTCCTTCCGAATTAGGACCTAATGCGGTAACGATTAGGCTTGCAGCATTTAGGTATGCCTAATCGTTTCCGTATTGGGCCCACATTCGTCTTTAGGCATGCCTAACTGAAATTCTAGTCGGGATTGTAGACAATTTTCGTACAAATCAGGCAATGACACACCATGTGCGTGGCCCTAGCTTAAAACCAACGCAGGTTTTAATATCTACAGAGCTTTAACTTCTATTTTGTTTAAAAATAATCTTATTTCCATGATTACTTCAGTAATAACATAATACGAATCCATGATCATTACGCACACGGTGTGCCATTGGTCTTTTTGCCTAGGGGCGGCATTACATTACACACCAGGTGTGTGATTGGCCTCGAATGAGTTAATGGGGTGCAAAGGGTTACATTATTACACAATTAGTTTGAAATTATGTAAGAAGAAGCTTGGCTACGTATAAGGGAGGAAATGATCTACAGCTACTTAGGAAATTACTAAGAAAAATTCGATTATTTTTAACTATTTCTTTCTTGGATAAAAACTCATAAATTTGAATGAAAATTTCAATACTCGTTTGTTATTTATACTGCAACGATGAACTTCAAAGCAGTGCAGTATCGGTGATATTCTTTGCTAATTTTTCTTATACAACGAGTGATTTACAAAATTTCATATTCATCAATTTTTCAAATACTCGTTATTAAAAAGTTTCAAGTATCGTTCCTTTCGAGCAAGTTTTTTCTGTTCGACGTAAAATTTCCGTTGCTCCTAGAATTTCCGGAGAACTCGGAATACATTCGAAGGGACAACATTGGACACCGTGGACTCAGTTTGCAAGGTCTTACGACAAGGAATTCGTGAGTCGAGGTTCACCAATGGTCCGAGGCGGAATCCAGCACGCACGTTTGACGAAGATCCCTTAAAAATGCAAACAGAAACTGATCCTCGAACTACTGGTCGGGGAACTAGTCGAGAGAAACTTCAAACAACCTATGCAAACTGTACACAAACATCTTTGAAAGCTGGGAGAAGTTACACGAGTGGAAACGCGAGTTTCTGGCAAGTTAAAAAGATACAAAGACAGATTTACAGCTCGAACTTTTTTATCGTGCTCTTTATGGAATAGAAAGTATATAATAATACGTTTCTTTGGATTTTACTTTTTCATGGAAAAATACCGATTTTAACATCGAGTAAATTATACTTTGAAAAATATCGATATTTTCCAAACTTCATGTTTCATAGTAGGTTTGTCGTTTTGAGTGTTCGCCGTAACATTGACCAATATGCAGCGTTCCAGCAGCATAACCCTCGTAAATTGCGTGTATCGATCATTTCCTGCCTGTGCACCAAGCTTCACAACCTTGACCTGACCTTATAACACCTTTGTTAACTACTCGTATCTGCCTCGGACATTTCGCGAAGTAATTAAATAATATTGAAAAGAACAATTCATTATAGTATTCCATTAATAACCAAACAGAATAACATGTTCGCTATCAATACGATATAGTTAATAATTAGAATATCTTTTGTTACATGAATTTCTTCAAAATCAAATATATTATAACTCAAAATGAATTTTTTATTTCAGACGATTTCAGTTCCAATTTTGAAATAATTTTAGTATAAGAGGTTTCGCACTTAGCGAATAAATCCTCCATTTTGCAACATTTTTACTTTCCAAAAATTAGAGAAGGAAGCTGAAGGTTACATTTATATCCTCTGAAAAAATTGAAACTTTTCGTTTAGTGGTTGCCTATGAAAAAAATTCTGAAACTTTATTTTTGGACATCTCAGGTGGTGAATCACCTTAACCCTTTGAGGTACGATTTCTTTTCCTGACTGTGTATCTAAGCGTCAGTCATTTACTGTTTTAGTACTATATTAAGTAAGAAGAGTTAATATATTATAGCTTAATGAAATTTGGCAATCTTCAGTTTTGCAAATTGGAATTAACACTAATCTTTATTACCGATACAACTGTTTCTATCAAATCTTGACCAAACTCTGTGTCACTAGTCTGACTCGTTATTATACAGCAAAGAGTAAAGCCAATTAACCCCTTAACGCTCAAATTTGTCTCAACTTGATGTCCCAAAAATGATCAATTTTAGTTTTTCTTGAAATTACTTCCTAGGCGTATAGAAATAAGTTTTCCATTTATTTATTACGCTGTGACTTATATTTTTGCAACAGAACAAGATAGCGCAATAGGAAAAGTGAAAGAAACTAACTAAACAAAATTGCACTTTTCGGAGGATCGAACGAGCGTCAAGGTGTTAACCTCAAAGTTAAAACAATAAAATGAAATTACTGACTTTCCTGCTCATCCGAAGGAACCACAGATGCTCGCATATTCGCCGTGGCCTCTTGCTGCTCCCTGATAAAGCTCCTCTGCCTCTCGGCTCGTTCCCTTCGACGTCTTAACGCCGGTGTCACGCCAACGTCCACTGAAAGCCGCGATAAATCACTTCTTTCCTGGTCCGTTCGCCGCCGATACAAACGCCACCTCGATCATTTTCCGCGTCGAACTATAATTTACTATTTACCGGTCCCGCTTGCTCGTTCGCTCGCTCGCTCGCTCTCTCGCTCGCGACGCCACCGGCCGCTTATCGCGCGATCGTTTTCGTTCGCGTCGAATCACACAACGACCGAACTTTCATTTTGATATATCGGCCGCGATACGAATCGAAACGTCCCTCGACGACAGTCCCAATAAATTCTGCTCGTCACGCGTGTCATTCCTTCGCGGCTCGCGCCAGCCCCTCGGATCACGATCAAAAATACGCCATGTATCAATTATTTCGTCGAACTACCCGCCACCGATCCGGACGTTCAACGCTCGATCTTTGATTATTCCATGCATTTTATTGCAAGCAGATGAAACGCACCGGGGGAAACTTGCCATAGGATTTTTTTCTCTTTTCTCTCTTTTTTTGGGGGGGAGGGATTTTTCGGCGCAGCTGTCAGTTTTGTTTTTTCGTTGAAAATTGCGTTAGATTGCTCCACAAGTTCTGTATAATCGGTATCGACATTTTTTCTGCCTGCATGAAATTGCAATTTTTTTTTTTTTGCTGCAGTCGCGTGTAAAAATTGCACATTTGTCTGCAGATTTCGTTCGTGAAATTTTGTTCGCTTGTACGGTGAAAAATATTGCAGTAGAAGATTGCAGAACGATGATTTCCGCGTTGCGCGCGTTTGTCATTTTGTTTGTCGCGTTGGAAAATTTAGAAAAAATTCTCACTTTTCGTTGGTGGTGGCGATACTGTATCGGTGTATCGGAAAATTAAATAATTCTCTATGAAGATGTAGCACGGTGCTTGAACAGTGAATCTGAAGGTCCGATGCAATCTTATCAATAACGAATGGTGCATTTTCTTCGAGTGTATGATCTGATTGATGCGACGCGATCAATCTTCGTTCGGCGTCCGTACCGAGAATTGTCTCAAAGATTGGTATCTTCGCCACGAAGGTTAGTACATCAATAATAACAGGCTTAAACCCTTGTAACACCTTTACTCAATGCCAGACAACTGTCTCGAGTACTCTTTACTGGTACGTGTTTCACCACGACCAAGTTCAAACTTGTAAATCACGTAGTGTCATTCACAGATCTTATCACTGACCACTTCAAACACCTGCGTATCCTATTTAGAATATATCATATCGGTATAAATTTAACGAAAGTACTTTTGCTCGTCGATTGTAACTGTTCTGTGAAGACAATTGTGTATCGAAGAATCTGTCAATCAACTTTCATGCGATTAATCAATATTGAAAGTAGAATAATGTGCCATTTTCAATTTTAAGAATAAGATAATACACGATTTTCAATTTTAAGAATAGAATAATTTACAATTGCCAATGTTACGAATAAGGAAATTCAGAATTTTCAATTTTAATTATAAAGTAATTCACAATTCTCAGTTTCAAAAATAGAGTAATTTACAAATTTCAATTTTATGAACAGAATGATTAACTATTGTCAATTTTAAAAATAGAATGATTTACAATTGTCAATTGTAAATATAAAGCAATTGACAATTTTCAATTTTAAACCTAAAATAATTCGCAATTTTCAATTTAAAAAATAGAATAATTTACAATTGTCAACTTTCATCCGCATTAAAAAATTACTAAACAGAACTTATGCAGCAATCCAATAGCCTCACAAAGCTAGAACACTTGGCAAAACTGCAAAACAACAACACAAGTAATAAAAAATTAAATAATAAAAAAAAAGTAAGGTGAAAGTATAACGAGACATAAGTAATTATTCCGCTACATAATAACGAGAATATTATTTCCCTATACATCAGAACAGCGAAACGCAATTTTCTCGAGAAAACTAACAAGTATGTATACACGGAAAATAGAAAACCATGAAAACGCTGACCATCTGAACCCGGCGTATTATTCGCGGTCCCGGCATCCACGTTTCGTTTCCGGTGGCCCGAGAGGAGTTCACGTCGCGTACTTGACCGTATCTGCACGGACGAACCGAGCTGGCCGTTTTCCGCGACGGTTTAAACGTGCTCAATCACGGCCCCCTTCGAGCGAAACTACGCTTTTCGTCCGATCTCTAGCGGCCGGTTCGCAATTCGCCGCTTGCTGCATCCGCAACGAAACACACGGGGGAACTGAAAACCGCAAGGTCTCTCTCCCGAGAGAGGGACGATCCGTTAACGCGGAAATCGCCGCTCGTGGGCGTCGAAGTTCGTATTCATCGCGCGGTCGAATCGTTAACGAGCGGATTTGCGACGTACCATCGACTACCCGGCGTACATTGGACGAAAGTGAAAATTCGTCTCGAGAGAGATAAGAAAGAGAAGAGCGCAGGGAACAATGCTGTCCAAATTTCACATTTCAGTGCAACGTGGCGTTTTTTCTATTGTGCTTCAGTTTTTTGGTAGGAGTTTGGAGAAGTCGAATGAAAGAGGATCGAATACGTTTTGGTTCCTTTGATTTTGCGATGTGCGGGCCAAGTAGACCAAACTTTTGCCTAATTTTAAATTTTTACTAGCCTATCTAGCTATGCTATTTTTGAGTGTCCCTTTCTTTTTAAACTTCTACTCGTTGTATTTTGCTTTACTCGGAGATTGAAGCTCAGAAAGTGTTTCATGGAAGCAGAAACGCAGCGTTCCTGCAGGCCATGCGTCTCTCTTGTGCACATGCGTAAACACTTAATAGCGATTGACGTGTCGTAAAGCCATTACTTGTCATCTAAGTACTTGATGACCCGTTATAACCGATCACCCCTTTGCTCTAACTCCTACGCTACGACCACTTTGCTAACTGAGAAACTGCAGGGTGGGTGGTATTTTACCAATACCAAAGGGTCCAGAGCTTTCGCTATACAAAAGAAATTTCGATCGATCCACTAACCAGGGCATAATGCAAGGTGAACACGTTACATAGTTCGCCCTGTGTATTATTATCCTGTACGCTATTATCGTCCACTTTGCATGTATTATATCTCAATTAATCATTCCAAGTAGTTATTTGAATATTTAAAAAATTGCCTATAGTAAAAGACAACCGAAGGAAAAACAGGAAAATGTTTGGAACAAGAAGGAGATATACGAGTTTCTCCATTCCTCCAAAACTTTCGCGTAAAGGGGGACAAGATCACGTGACGAAATGTTATGTATGGACAGCATTGATAGAAAATAAAAAAATAGAAAATGATCGTCTCACACAAAACCGCAAAGAAAATAGAAAAGAAAATAGAAAAACTACATATGGACAGAATTGATAAGAAACCAAAAAAAAGAAAATAGTGTAGAAAATGATAGCCTCGCACAAAAAATGATAGCCTTCACACGTGTGAAACGCTATACATATATGGACAGCGTTGATTAAAAAAAAGAAAGAGAACGGCGTAGAAAATGATTGTCTCGCACAAAATCACGTGACGAAGTGGTACATATGGACAGAATTGATAAGAAAAGAAAAAAAAGAAAATAGTGTAGAAAATGATAGCCTCACACAAAACCACGTGTGAAATGCTACGTATGGATAGCATTGATAACAAAAAAAATAAGAAAAGAGAAAATAGTGTAGAAAATGATAGCCTCGCACAAAAGCACTTGACAAAATGCTCCATATGGACAGCATCGATACATAAAAGAACAAGGACGTAAGAAACGATCGTCTCACCTTTGTTCTCTTTGTAGCTGCCGTTTAACTGAACCTCGCCGAGGTGACCCTGCGAGCTTTGCGAGCTGCTCGACTCGTCGTCGTCGTCGGGCAAGCTCGAGTTTAGCGTGTTGTTCAGGGAGCTTAAACCCAACGAGTGGTTGAGCCGCGGACTTAGGCGTGCGTTCAAGGACATCGACAATGGAGACGTGCCCGTCGAGTGTCGCCGAGATTTCCGCCGCTCGTGTGAATCCACCAGGGACTTCCGGTTTCTCAGCGTTTTCCTACACCAAGAAAATTGTCCCCTCGTGAATTATCCTGTTCACCATTCTGTTATTTCGATATCGTTGCAAACCGACGGGTTTTTAAACGGAAGTTTCTTATTTTCACGAGTCTAATTGCCCCACAGTCGTTGATTCGTACTACTTAACCGCATGAATAGCGTGGACGTCAGTGCTGGGGAGGAAGCAAAGCTAGCGGAAGAATTATGCGAGTTATAACGATCAGCTCGTTAGAAATGTGTTCGAATAAATTGAAGCTGAAATTTATTGCGATGGAGCGTAGATTAGGCACTAATCCAAACACGAGCTCGTCGAGGCGATTTCGTCGGCATAATCGGATACATCTACTACTACCAATGCGTCGCGTTAAGCTGTTTTTCCTCGTATACAAGTTTCTCTTGTACTGCGTTTGACAAAAAAGGAAGAACGGGACACTATCGTTTCCCTTGAAAGTCATGCTTTGGACAATCTGTATTTTCTATAATAAATATCAATTTGTTCAAACAATACAATTTTCACAACTAAAAGATTACTGCGATACACGTGAAAATATAAGACATTTCTAACTTTTTAAGCAAAATTCAAATTTTATTTATGGATCAGATAATATAAACCTAATCGTCAAAAGAGTTTTTATAATAAGTATCACTTTTGCCTTTGCCGAAATATCACTTTCCATAGCTAAAAGATCACAATATGTGAAAATACATTTTTAATTTTTTAAAATTCAAATTTTATTTATGAAACAGATAATATAAACCTAATCATCAAAATAGTCCCCAATATATTCTATAACTTTGGTCCACCTTCTGATTAACCGCCAGAGTTCATCTCGAACAAAATTTCGCGATTTCGATTCGACGGCCTTTTCTCTAATCCCATATTTCCCATAATAAACACAAAACTACCGATCTCCCTTATAGCAAGAATATCAATCAAGAGTTTCCTCCCCCGCTTATTTCCCCAAAACTTCCTTCAACCCTTTCATAACATCCCCTTTAGTCTCCTCGAAAATTCCTTCGCTAAACACTCGCCGTACAATGCCCGCGAAGATCAACAAACTTGGCAAAGGGTCAAAGGAAATCGCCCAAAATCGATACCTGATGTTATCGTCCAGCTGGCGAATAGGCGAACCCCTATCGTTCCCGTCCTCGTGGTGCAGCACGGCCTCGTAGATCTGGAACTGTCTAAGCAGGTCGAGGTCGGTGCCCTGTTTCGACATGTACCTCTGGATGATCCCCTCGATACCCTGCTCCTCCAAACAGTCCACTTGATCGTAATAAGTGTCCTGGTCCGGTATACCGTTCAAGCATTTGTTGACCAACGTAGTCGCGTAGATCAGTAACTCCGTGTCAGCCGCGTCGTAATCTTTCAACAGCTTCATCACGTTCGTCCATGGTATCATTCCCCTAGATGTATCGACCGACCTAACGGCTCTGACCAACAGCAGGCTGTTCGTCTCCACGTATTCGACGAACACCAACAGAAGCTTCAACGCGGTCTTCACCACTAGCCGGAAGCGGCTGGCTATCAGTGTGTATAACCACTGAACTGTCTGACCATGTTCCATCACTCCATTCATACCGTCCACGTAGAGCATCACCTGGCCGAGAGCTGCGAGAACAGAAACAGAAGATTCGTTCAATTGGTCCCGCGAACGGTTTGCTCGGAGGATTTCAAGGTGGGGAGAATTGTTTCTCTTGAGGGAGCAACGTGTTTTCAGTGTGGAATATTGGGGTTGAGCGGTTTTCGCGGAGCTTCAGATGGCAAGATAAACGGTTGAAGATGTTCGCGATCGAACGTGTTCTACTAGGATCATCTGACTTGGATATTTTTGTTTTACGTGGGACATGTTACAGTAATAGTTGTGACGAAATTTGGGTACGAAATAATTTCTGAAAGAATTGGAATTAACGGTGAAATGTGACGACAAAGTGTATGATAAGATATTACAGGAAATTAATGTTAATTTTTTAATTTGTTTTATAAAATACAGCATTGCTTATAGCATCAGGTATGAAAATTAAAAGCTTAGGTAGCTTTTGTGAATTTCATTTAGAGGTACTGAGTGTAGTTTTAATCAGAGTACTGTTTCATTTTCACTTTCACAATGGTAACGAGAGTAATTCTGATAATTCTCCCAATTTTTAACTGTGACATGAATTATATAGCTTTGAATGAATAATGCTAGGCTGGATTGAGACGAGAACTCAAAAAATTAGAAATGGACGATTGGATGTTGGAGAAATTTGAAAATATTTGTAAACTAAGGAAATGTTGGAAAAACCAAAAAAAAAAAAAGGAGAAGATGGGTGCGTGAGAGTTTATGGTAGGATGGCTATGATTCGTTTACGATGAAATTTTACCTTAGTTTAGGCTGGTCTATTGCTTTACGGTATTTAACTGTTTGGCTCGTTTGTGCTACCGAACATCTATAGACAACATAAAACAGTTCTACAAACAACCCTTCTTTCCTCCATTTTTCATCGGCCACATTCTTTTTTTCTTGGTTACATTTTCAAGAATTATTTTCCCTGACAAAATTGGGAAGTTCATGAATGAAACAAAGGGTCGGCCGAGCAACCCTAACGCTCGCGTAATACCCAGCACTCTGCGCGCGAGTTAAAAATGGAAGCACGCGTAGGTGCGCGCGCTTCATCAATTTCGCATGAATCATAACCGTGATGGGCCCTTTGTCTTCCCGAACAACGGAATCCTTTCACACTACTATCTCTCCTTTTTTTGTTGCTTCCTTCTTTCTTTTTCCTCCTCTGTTTTCCTTTTTTTTTTCTTTCTCGGTTCCGTGGAAAACGCGGGAAAAAGCGTCGCTACACCGGCAGTCAACGCAAATATCCAATGAGAAGCTTTTGTCGCGTTCTAGCGCCCACCAGGATAAAATCCATCAATCTCTAACCCGGTTGAGATCGACTTTCGTCGTTTTTTTCAC